CACACACACACACACACACACACAAAATAAAGTAATTCCCATGTCAATGGGACACAACCCATAAACATTACAGCCTAGGAATTGCAATAATACAAAACAGAAGATCCTAACTTGGAGTGAGGGTTATTGGTGTAAAAAAGTGAGTAGAGAAATTTGCAGAGGATACATCTGTATCCTATCAGTTGAAACAGTTAAGCTTAGTACTTGGTAGAAGACCACCCTTCCCCAACTCAGTCCCACTTCTCTACCTTCTACACATGCAAAATTCCTTCTGTCATGTGCAGAGACTTGCCAACTGCACCCCAATGTGTGAACCAGATGGTGCTCCAAATATCTTAGTTTTGATAGACCAAAATCAATCATGACAATTTCAGTCCCATCTGGACTACAGCTTGCATCATCCCTTGCCAATGTTGCCGGCTGTGGATTATGGAGGTTGTAGCCAGCCTGTTTGGAAGACCCTGGGCAGGGAATTCTATGTGTGATTTTTTTAGATGCAGAAAGACATATACTGCTTATTTGTGCATCATCATTATGATCATTATTATTGCATTTATGCTCTGAATGTGGGCTTTACCAAAGGATGTGGGTTGGACAAGATGAATCGTTCATCTGATCCAGTGTGTGTTTTATTACATTTTTCTTATGCATATCAACTTTTCTTCTTAGAAGAAAAGTGAGTGTGACCAGCTCTCTTTTTTGCCTATTACAATTCTGACTAACAACAGAAAAAGCTTCCTGATGGTAAGAGCTGTTTGACAGTAAAACAACTATCTCAGAAAGTGATAGCAGGAGTGTAGCTATGGAGGGATTCTTCCCTGCTTTACCCCTGGCTGATACTTCATTGGAGCTTTAAAACAAGTTTGATGGTCACTGCTTAAAGATGCTTTAACTGTGGATTCCTGAACTGTCTATGTTCTATGGTTCTCTGAACTTCATGTCCTTGTCTCACTCAAATCCACTTGTGTCTATTTCTTAATCTTCTTATTGACTTTCCAAAATATCTTTGCATGGTACATGGAGAAATGTTATTTTTGGACTACAATTTGGACTACCAATCCCATGCTCTACAACTGAGGATGCATGGAGTCCTAGTCCAAAAAGTAACATTTCCTCACTGTACCGTGCACAGATATTTTGGAAAGCCATTAAGAAGATGAAGAAATAATCTTATTCATTTGGTAATGAATCTCATTTTGGGAGAAAGGTGGGATATAAATCCCTTAAATAAACCAATAAACCAATAAAATGATCTTCCCAAGTGCTGATGGATGGGTAGGTTTCCCAAATTCTTCCCACATTCACTTAATACCTTTCCAGTGTCTGACACAGCATCAACCACAATAATTATTACAGTCTGAGTCTCCCTTATCCAAAATCCAAAATACTCCAAAATTCCAAAATCCAAAATACTCCAAATCTTTGTGTGTGTGTGTGTTTGAGATTGTGACACCTTTGCTTGCTGATTGTTTAATGTGAACACACTTTATTCCATACACAAAATTATTTTTAAAATATTGTGCATAAAATTACCTTCTGGGTATGTGGATAAGGTGTATGTATGTAACAGAAATGAATTTCATATTTAGACTTGGGCCCCATCTCCAAGATATCTCATTATGTATAGACAAATATGCATAATATACATAAAGACTGTATAAATATATGTAAAGGATAGTAGTGCTGAGGATACTGTGGATGGCCAAGAAAACAAACAAATGGGTGCTAGAACAGATCAAGCCTGAATTTTCTCTGGAAGACAGAATGACTAAATTGAGGCTGTCCTATTTTGACCACACCATGAGGAAAAATGAATCATTAGAAAAAACAAAGATGATAGTATAGACAGTAGAAAGTGAGGAAGACCACACATCAGATGGTTAGATTCAGTTATGGGGGACACAGGTATGAATTTACAGGACCTAAGCAGAGCAGTGCTAGCCAGTGTGGTGTAGTGGTTTGAATGTTGAATTAAAACTCTGGAGACCAGGGTTCGATTCCCAGCTCAGCCATGAAACCCACTGGGTGACTTTGGCAAGTTACAGTCTCTCAGCCTCAGGGGAAGGCAATGGCAAATCTTCTCTGAACAAATCTTGCCAAGAAAACCCCATGGTGGCCTTAGGGTCACCATAAGTGGGAAAGGGCTTGAAGGCACACAACAACAACAGCAATCCCAAGCCAGTGTGGTGGAGCAGTCTAAACACTTGGGAGACTAGAGTTCAAATCCCCTCTTGGCCAGGGAAACCCACTGGGTAGCCTTGGGAAAGGCACATGCTCTCAGCCTCCTCAGGAGGCCCCCCCTGACAAACTTCCTCTGAACAAATCTTGCCATGATGCATTTGCCTTAGGGTCATCACAAGTAAGAAACAAACACACAAACAGTGCAGTGGAGGACAGGGGGTCTTGGAAATGCCTAATCCACAGGGTCACCATGAGTTGAAGCCACCTGGAAAAATATGCAAATGTTCCCATATATATATATATATGTATATGTATAAAAAACCAACAACAACCTACCAAAACACTTCAAGTCCCAAGCGTAAGATAGACTCAACCTGCGTTAGTACTTTAAAACAGAACTCTATATTTTTTCTTTTGTTTTCTTTTTTGGCTCTTCCCCAGTCACTTTTTGGATGCTTTCATGATTCCATGGGAATTATCTAGATATAGGCTGGGGGATACCTGGCTTAACAAAACTACATGTGAAAGAAATTTAGGAGTCCTATTAGACCATAAATTGAAAGTGAGTCAACAGTGTGATGCAGCAGCTAAAAAAGCGAATATGATCCTAGACTACATCAAAGGGAGTATAGATTAAGGGAAAAACTAGTGCCACTCTATTCTGCTTTGGTCAGGCCTCACCTAGAATACTGTGTCCAGTTCTGGGCATGACAATTCAATGAGGATGTTGACAAGCAAGAGCATGTCCAGAGGAGGGCAACTAAAATGTTGAAAGGTCTAGAAATCATGCCGTATGAGGAGAGACTTGGGGAGCTGGGTGTGTTTAGCCTGGAGAAGAGAAGGTGAAGAGGTGACATGATGATAACCTTGTTTAAATATTTGAAGAAGTGTCATACTGTGGATGAAACAAGCTTGTTTTCTGATGCTCCAGAGAATAAGATCCAGAGCAATGGATTCAAACTACAGGAAAAGAGATTCCACCTCAACATTAGGAGGATCTTCCTGAGAGTAAGAGACAGTGGAGAGTGACAGAGTCTCTTCCTTGGAGGTCTTTAAACAGAGACTGTATGGCTATCTGCCAGAGGTGCTTGGATTGTGTATTCATGCATGGCAGGGGGTTGGACTGGATGGCCCTTGAGATTTCTTCCAACGCTATGGTTCTCTCTCTGAGAACTTTGCAAGACAGGGGTAATTCTCTTTTTGAAAACTTTGCAAGGTAGGTCTCTGGCTGGGGTGTTCTGGGAGATGCAGACCAAAAAGTAACTTTTCTAAGCTCTGATATAGGTTTGATAAACACTGGGGGGGGAGAGAAAGAGAGAATAAGTCCCCCTCTTTTCCTGTAGGAGGGGCTTTGTGTCTTCCTGCATGGCAGGAGGTTAGACTGGCTAGCCCTTGGGATCTTTTCGAATCCCCTGATTCTTGCATATCTTTCTTTCTCTCTATTTTTATAATTTCTTTATTTTTAAAAATACAGGTGTACAAATACAACAATACAAATACCATTAAAAAACACAAACACCAAC